CAGTTTTGATTAAAACCTAATTTCTTTGATGTTAGAAACTCGATACACACAGGAAGAATTTACTGAAGCAGATTAGTGAAAAAGAATTGGAAAGAATCAAAGAAAGAAGACAATTTTTCCAGGAAGGCGTCACATACCAACAAGGTGAAGCTGCCAGGAAAAAAGAATTACGTGCTACAATGCAAAAGAAAGTCGAAGAACTTAGGTAAAATCAATTATAATATTTATAATAAATTAAAAAAGTTATTATATTTGTATTGTCATTTTAGGGCATTTAAATTACCAACAAAGTATGTACAAGGTGTTGAGAGACAATTAAAATTAAGAGACTGATATCGCAACAACAATTGTTAATAAAAGTACATTTGAATTCATTTTATTGTTATAATCATAATATTATATCAACTGAATAGTGTTATTGATGAATAATATTATTTATAAACGTAAAATAAAATAAATTGTAAATTATAGGTACAATCAAAAATATTACTAAATATATTATATTTATAATCATACCTGAGTTAACCAATGCAGAGACAAACACAATGTATACTAAAAAAATAATTTTATTTTTATGAGTTGGTTTTAAATAATTTTAAGAGGTACTCGGTGTCTTAGTCTAAGAAATATACATGAAACGTCAAACAACAATATAAAATAATAAATGCGTATTTACCTTATATCTATTATATGAAATGTATTATTATACATAAAAACTGCGAATTGTGACTAATAATGTTATTAATTATTATAATTATTTATATTAAACAATATACAGCTTTTACTGTCCCAATTTAAAATTTATAAAGCAGGTATACTATAAAATATAAAATACAAATATGAACTGTACTGTACTAGTAAAACCATACTTGTACGTCGCGTGATGGTGAGGATTGATTAATTTTTAAAGTATTATTGCTAATTGATAACTGATAACCGATAAGAAAGTGTTTAATTTATTTATAAAAAATATTAAATAAAACAGCAGGGATAACAATACATGAAGTATAATTATTTAAATGTTTATCTCTAATTGTATGTAAATAATAATAATTTAAAATATATATTTAGTATAAAATATATTTTGATATAAAAAGTTATTAGATTATATTATGAACATTAATAATAAACAAGTTCGTAATTATTTAAGCTTATAAAAATTAAAAACTAAAAGTTGATGTATATAATTTTATAGTTATTTTTACCTTCTTTTCATCAGTTATAAAAATTATTTAGTAAAATCTGAGAAAAATATGAATTTAACTCTTTAAATAGTCCACAAATGTATCAATGTTTTAACCGGTAGATAGCGTACGTATTATTTAAAAATCAAACAATAATTTTATTACTATCAAATACATATAAAATCATGAAATAATATTTCAGTAATGAATTTAGTTTAGGTACATTTTATTTTGAGGTAATAACGTATAAACTATTAAAATATAATATAACTATAAAATATAATAAGATACAAAATAATAGAATTTTTTTTTTTTAATAATTATCGTTTCTTTTCTTTTCAAGTAATTTGGTTAGAAATTTGATGCGTTAAAATAACAAATAAAATTATTTAAGTAGATAACTAAAATGAATCAAGATAAGCAAAAACTGAAGAACGTGAGTAATTTTAGTCGAAATATTATCTGTGCCTATTTGCTTTTTAATAATGACAAAAGAAATAATATAAATAAATAAAAACAATTATCATAAAATTATAATTAATTAATAAAATTAGATACAAGAATTTTACCGACAAAGCAAAGTAATATTCTTTAGTTATAAAATAATAGTTCAACAAAGTTAAATAATTGTTTGGTATTATTTTACCTGGCTACATAACCAATTAATTAATTAAAAAATTCACTGATATTTATTGAGCCTTAAAGTTTGTAAATAATAATTAATAATTAATAGTTAATTAATTAATTTATATTAATTATTATTTGGACCATTATTTCATTATTAATTAATATTAAATGTTTAGTAAATGTATAACCAATAAGTATTAAACTTTAGTCTTTTGATTACTTATTTATGACTTAATGAATATTCATTACCTATTTGAATACTTAATTTTTTTTTTTTATTTATTTATTTAAGAAGTATAGAAAATTTAAAATTTATATGCATATTACAATTTACAATAAGCAGATTGATTTAAAATGTGCAATATGTATGTCAAAATGGTATAAGGTAAATTAGAAATTATTATTATTTTTTTTTTTTTTAAATATAATACCTATTTACTGTTTACTACAATAAACAATAAAACAAATAAAATTACTCAAATAATTTTGATTTGTTTTGATTCGGCTATTAAAGTATTAAATTGCTAATTATCAGCTATTTTTTCATTATAAATATCGAAAATTAATATGTTTACTGATCAAAATACCAATGTATAAAAATGATAATGATTTAATTCACACTAAACTATAACTATCTATTATTATCATTTTTATTATAATATAAGATATACGTATGTATCAGAGGAAAGGCTGTTTAAATTGCATTTAAAGTTAAATATTTACACATTAGTACTTCTCCTAAAGGTGATAACAAACGAAAATATACACTCATTTATCACTCTGCTCGGAATCTTAAAAATAATTAGTTCAAAACTTTTTCATGTTATACAGTGTATACATCCAAAAAAGCTTTACATATTGTTTTCCCTTTTGATAAAACCTCACAGGAATTCATATTGAAGTTTAAGGATGTTAAAATTAATTTAGTTTTTCATAAAAAAACTCAGAAAATTAACTTCATTATTAATATTTAGAATTATCCAAAATAATAATCAATATTAGAAATAAAATTAGACAAGTACTTATTTACAACTTACTTATATATTTTTATTTTTATTATAACATTACTAAGCAATAACCATATTAAAATAATAAAAAGTGTTACCAAGACTTAAATAAAGAAAATAACTTATCATGTATCAAATATCTTATAGTGGACTTAATTTTAAAATTAACAATCACTATTAAAGTTTATAATCCAGAGACCACAGTGCAATATTTTATATACTTTATTTCGTAGATGAAAATCTAATTTTTGAATTATTAAAGAAATTAATACTCATTAAGTTATTATGATATTAAAACTTCTAAAGTAAATTACGTATTAAATAACGTTTATATCTCCATTAACCTAGTTAATATAAAATTATTAGCATCCGACTTAAAAACAATCCGTAGGAAACTAGGGAAGTAAACGATATTTTACACTTTATGTTTAACTTATTATAATAGATTATTAATAGATGTTCTTCATAAACTTCCATTAAAAAAATTAATTATTTTAAATTATTTATGTACTTATAAATTAATTTTTTGACAGCATAACTCAAATCAAATCATAAAATAAAATAGATAAAATCAGATTTTAACCATTAACCTTTACATATTTTACTTTTGCATACATGAAACGCTACCTACCTACTAATTAATAATAATGATAATATCCAGTTATTTAAAACCCGATTTTGAGAGAGAGCTTAATTTAATATAGTGCTAATAACCTTATATGTATTCAACATTTTTAATAACAACATAAAGCTAAAAATCAAATTTGTTTAAAAATGTATTATAAACGTCTAAAGGTTTACACATTGAGGTAACGGAGGTAGTAATAAAATGTAGTCAGACAAAATTTACCGATGCAGTGAAAGATAATAAAATTTTACCACCACCGCTGCAGTGTGTAAACATACATATTTTTATAATTTATTATAATTTTTTCAATTTAAATAATTATAAATATTTTTTAAATTTATTTTTATTTTTTTATTGAATGTAAATTAATATATAAGGAGATGTGAAAAAATCAAAATACAATCTTTAGGAATTATTTAATGAACATATAATTTAAAATAAATTGATATTAATTTTCTACAAATTATTGAAATAACACATTTTTAAATTTGTATATTTTATTGATTATTAGTTATTACACGGTGAATATAATGTGTATATGTAGTTGAGATAAATATTTAGTTTTTAAATTTATTAAATCAAATTATATTAAAAATAAAATTAAAAATAAGAATAGATGATTCTAAAATGAAAGAATTTAATGATTAATTTTAACATTCGATAACTTATACAGTTAAATCTCTAAACAGGTATCTGTTATTTAATGGTAGAAGGGGGTAGGTGAAAAAATTAATAATATCAAAAAAATGAGACATATATATATTTATATTATTTGCATGTATGAATATACTTGTATGTATTACATATTATTAAAAAAACAAAGCAATTACCGACTGATATAGACGATATTGTCATTCCCTACAACGGATAAAATAAACTATGATAGTATAATAATTTGTAAAATGTATATTGTGCCTATTAAAATTAAGGTGCAATAAAACTAATCGAAATTTAGCTATAAAGTGTCCATTATTTAGAGTGTCCTGTACATAATGGTTTTTCTATAGATAATTATTGAAAATATTACTGTTTCAGAAAAAATGTCCACTATTTGGAGATGTCACTGTATTTCAATTAATAAAAAAAATCAAATTTAGGTGCTGTAGTGATTGATTTTACTCTCATTTTACATTCATGTGCTCAATTCTTTATTTATATATTATTTTTTTCTTCAAATTTTATTATTATAGGTACGTTGTTTATATAGATTGTTAATATTTTTAATTATAAAGAAAAATAAACAACAAAAATATTTTATTTATATTATATTATATATAAATTATATAATTTATATATTTAACTTGATAAATTTATGTATATACTTTTTATGTTTGTATTGTAATTTAATTAATAGATTGTATATTTTTTATACCTATAAATAACGAAGAAATTTAAGAACATAGTATAATTCGTTATTATTATGTGTGGCCTAAATCAAAAAAGGAGTTTGCGCTCACAATACTTGCTGGGTGATTTTTCCACCCTGCGCTCGTTGTTCCTTCGTTATAAAAGCTGGAACTGTTAAAGTATTACTCAGAATCTATTTAGTATACTTCGTACTCTAACGTCTATCGTTTTACGTCATCTATACGCATCTTAAAAGTAAGGTTTTTATGTTTTATTTTATCGATATAAAATCAAATGGACAAATTTTATATTATACATAATATACTTACAAACACTTTTAATATCCATAATAGTTATTATAATAAATAATAAAATAAAAATTATATTATATTGTATATTATGATTTTTAATATCTAATATTAAGGCATCTAATATAATATTATATTTATATAATTAGTTTACTATTTAAAAGTATTTTGTTGAACAATTTTTTTATGGAATTATTACAATATATTAAACAAAAAAAAAATATATAACTATCAAACAAATAATTAGTAGGCAATTAAATATGAGTATATTTATTTGTAACTACATGTTATTAGTTTCAATACAAATATTGGTTATATGATTTGTTTGATAACTTAATTATCCAGTTATAATTATAATACAATACAATATAATATTATAAAATAACCATATTTTTTATCAAAATAATTAAACCAATTTAATAAGTAATCATTAGAAATCTTGAAAAAAATTATAATTCATCCCTTTAAAATAAATAACAATTTGTAAATTTATAAACATTTAAATTTTGTGTTTGTACACACGGTATTATGCATGTTGTCTACCATAATTAGTTTTAAATATTATTCTCATTACTATGTTATCTGTAAATTATTATAAAAATATTATTTTTTTTCCTGATACATAAATTGTATTATTCGTAATACAAGTAAACTGTTAAAAATAAAGTATCTGCATTTTATTTTTTGTAAAGATTCATAAAAGTAAAAAATGTTTTAAAGGTAGTATTTTATATTTATATTTTTTTTATTAGAAGAATAAAAGTTGTAACCACTACTCACTAGATATTTGGAGAAATAAATTATATTATAATACATGATAATTTTTTAAATATACAGGACATATAGGTATTTAGTAATAAAATATTTATGTTATTTTTTGTCATTTATTTAATTAAATACTAGGTAGGTACATAATTAAAGCTAGAGTTTTTTTTTTTTGTTTTTTTATTGATCTTACATATTTTATTTATGATAGTTATTAGCTTTAATAACTTAAAGTTAATTGTTGTTTTAAATACGCCTTATAAATCATAGGTACTAATTTAATTTAAAAATATAAAAGCTAAGAATTTGTAATATTATAAATAATGATAACCAGTAAATAAAATTCTGTTAAGTCCTTTAAAATTATAAACGATTATTTGAAATAGTATTTAAATAATATTTGTTATTTTTTCATTAAAAATAGTACGTAATAAACAAACCATAATCATTTTTTAAAATTAAAATATCATTATTTAATTTTTTTAATGATTCATAATGAGTTATGTTAGATATAAATCATACAAATAAAATATCAATTAATTTAAACATAATTCGATCGGTATTTTTTTTAAAGTTTTTTTAATTATCATGAGTTGATCTCTGATTTGGGATAGATTTAATATACGTATACCTTGTTTTTTGGGATTAGTTCATTATATAAAAAAATAAATAAATGGCTAATAAATAAAATAGTATAGTTAAGATATATAATATTTTATACTTTTATAGTGTAAAAATAGGGGGCAAAAATGAATTTTATTATGGTGGAGATAGACATTTAACAAGGTTTTGATTCAGCCTGTGTTTATTTAATTAACAAATATTTTATCTTTTAACATTATTGGAACATAGGTTCTTATTTTAATTTATTAAATAAATATATTTTAAGCAATAATCTATATTAGATTAAAAATAAATAAATTCTATAATTAAATTATTATTATTATTTAAAAATAGCCTGTGCCGAAACAATACTAAAATATAATAAAATACAGAACTTGTATAATTAAGTTATATTGAATAATAATAAGATAACAATGTAAAATGTTTGAAAAATATAGCTATTTTAATAAAATATTATGACTCACTCAGCATAAAAATTAATTGCAAGTCTATGGTTTAAATAATAAAATACATATTAGTTTTTAAGTATAATTTAATTAATTTATACTCTATTGCATTTGATGTTTTATTAAAAAGTTGAATATATTTTTGTGGATTCATACTTAATTTAATGATTATAGGTTGAATTATTACAAACTAAAAATAACATTAATCTAAAGATCGTATAAATACAGGTGCAGATTCAGCAGGAGGCGGAGGGACACCCCCTCCCCTCGTAATCTGTGTTTTATTTAGGAAAAATACTTGGTAAAAAAAAAAAAAAAATCATAACAAATTTTAAGTTATTTGTATAGTATATAAGTTATTTTTAATATCACCCCTCCCGCCATAATCTCGGGCTGGATCCGCTACTGTATAAATATGATACATTATTTTGTGTACTAAAAAAAATAAATATAATTCAATTTGTTAAAATACAAGATAAACGTGATGCTCGAATTAAATAAGCCATATTATTTCACTCACTTGGATATGAATTATTATAAATTATGAACTAATTATTTTATCAATCACTTATTCGTTATTTTTACTTATTAGTCATTATTACAAACACAGAATGAATTTTAGTATTTCCTAGTACTAACTTATACTATAAAAAAAAAAAATTACAGATATGATTGATAGATAGTGATAGTAATAGTGTATATTATGATAGTGTTTCAAATATTTTTGAATTTCGTCATATTATGAAATTATTTTAGAATAATAGACAAAAAAAAACTGTAAAACTACACGAGAAAATTATTAAAATCTAATTTTAAACTTATACCTAAGTATTTTTATTAACAACAATTTCAAGACTTTAGTTAGGTTACTTATTTAAATTGAATGACAAAATTCATAGAAGTCCACGCACCTAACTAACTCATATTGTTCGAATACACTATTCAGTCGATTCATCCAAAAAATTCATGCTGGCTGTAAAAAAACTGAAAGTTTAATATCCTCCTATAGACATTTGCTAACACATTACTTTATGGTTAACTAATATGAATAAATATAAGGTTTTTGAATAATAGCTGCTAGGTGCAGTATTTTGTCGTACCCATAAGTATACACTCCAAACATAATATATTATCGGTCATTATGTAAACACATTATTACGTTAACGACAGCTATTGTTTTAATGTAATGCGAAACACTGGAATGTGTTCTAAGATGAATTTCATAAATAACTACAAACTGTTCCAGGTTACTACCTAAACACTATATTATTTTAATTTTAATGTACGTGTCATTACAACCAATCGGTAATAAAAAATAAAAATAAGACCTTCTGAATACAATATATATAATATTACCTAAATGAATGCACTTCTATGAAATAATTATTTTGTATGATATTTAATAGTACTTACTGGCTTCTGTATATAGTATGTATAATAAAACGTAATATATAACACATAACTTAATATTTTATTTGTTAGCTGTCGAAACCACGCGTTAACGAAGAAAAAAACGTTAAAAACTCAAATGAAAATAATATTTAGTAGGTACCTGCTATGTGACTAAGTGATTTCATTACATTATAACTTTGCTTTAATAATAAATTTTATAGCTGTGAATATAAACAGAAATTTAAATAACATTCGTAATGGTATAACTTTCGTAAAACTAAGAAAAAATTAATAAAAGTTTGTACGAATAAAAAAAAATATATTAAATACTTATTTAATAACTACATTGAATAAACAACATTAAAAAACCACCAATCTTAATTTAGATTCGAATTTTTTTATAATTTTAACATTAATATATTTTATTTTTTTTTACAATGTGATTTGTAAAGTTTACTAAATATATTTATAAACATATAACAAACACATTTATGACTATTTTTTATTTTACAAATTTATTAAAAATAATTTAACTTTTTTTTTATCCTAGAAATTAAAAATGAAATACTTCATTACCGTTTTTATGGTTTTCCATATATATTTCATTATGTTACAAAGAACATCAACTGCATTGCCTCTAGATAACTACTCCGATAAAGATTCGTTTGGTAAGTATAGAATTTAATTTTTTTTTAACTAGTTAGGAAAAACATTTAGTATTTAACTAGTAATCTAACAACAGTGCTATGATAAGTTCACTTAGCTAAGGTCAAATATTTTAATAAAAAAGCTCTATTTTTTAAATTGATATTTTTAGTATATTTTTACTAGGTATGTAAAAATAACATAAATAATAACAGTGCTATCTTAGACGATAAAGATATTATCCTCAAATAGGTTATTTAAATTTTAAAATGTTTGCAAAATATAAAATTAGATTAAAAAATCTAATGTTGTTGAGTGAAAATATTATTTTTTTTATTTTAATATTTTCACTGTTTATTATATTATTATTTATATTCTTTTAAACAATTTTAACAATTACAAAAACATATGCGTTTTGATTAATATTTTAAGAAATGAAATTCACTTATAAATTGTCTTGATTAAGAGAATTTAGTTGGTATTCAGGAATTTCATTCTTTATAAAATAGTTATGTAATTAACGGAATAATTTTTCACGTATGATATTTAAACTTCAATAATAATAACCTACCTTAAACCAAAATTACCTTTGTAAAATATAAATATTAAAAATTATAATAATTTATAATCAAAAGTTTATTATTTTATTATTTTATCACATTTGTGTTAAAGACTTTTAATAATTAATCATGCCTAATTCATAATGAATATCAATAATAATAAGCAATAACACAATCACTACTTATATAATATTAAGTAGTATAGGTAATAAAATTAGGTACGTAATTTAATAAGCACATCGATTAAATAGTATTTTAAATTATGTATTAAAAAATATTATCATACAATACCTTATACATTAGCATTTTACATATTTAATAGAATTCTGTGAAAAATAATGATATACCTAATATATTTTATTAAATTATAATTGAAAGAAAAAATATAGTGTTTGGTTTTAATATACTATTTAAATACGCAATTATGTTTTTAAATTTCTTAAAAGAACTGTTCTTTTGACTGGGGGGTCTCAATATGAATACTCTATAATATTTTCTTCATCTTCGTGTTTACGTTTCTTATACGTGATAATTAAAATGATTTACTTACCACGTCGAACAGCACTTTAAAGGCAAATCCACGTGTATAAGTATTTTATGAAGACAAAATTATATCACATACGAAATGTAATCTAACATTACTTTACGTTATTATATTGTTTCGTATTCTACTAATTTTATTAAATTTGATATCTTATTAAGATAATATTGAAAATCTTTTTTTTTCTGTTCTTGGCTCTTTTGTATTTTTCATTATATCTTGCGGCTCACGATCGACTCTCTTATTGCTGGCCACCTCTAATATAGTACTTTACTTAATTTAAAATATTGATTCCTTTGGGATTTTGATCTAAATTTAACTGATATGATAGCTATCTATTTAGCACCCATTTTTATATAGTATATTCCATTGCTATACAATTAAATAAATTCAGATTACCTACCTAAACCTAATGCAATTTTATTTAATTTCTTTGACACTCCTTGAACTAAATACTATATTTTATTTGATAAGTCAATTTTAAAGCTAATAATTTATACAGTCTATAACAAAAAGGTCACCAAAATCTTAATAACCTGCATTCCTATGCCCCTTGGTTATTATCAGTATATTATTATTTTTAATGTTTGATTTTAACCGTGTAATAAAAAAAAAAAAAAACGCCTTGACTAAACGTTTTTTAGTTCAGATGTAGATAAACGATAATTATTAATATTTTGTGATTAGTTATAATAATATGAAGAAAAATAAAGTTGTTAGATTCTACGGAAAATAATATTTGTGAGCTAAAATTAAACCGTACGTGTTGTGTAATTAAATTTGTCATTTACAAATATAAAGTACAATATATGAGCATATTTATATTATTATTTTTTAAGTTTTTGTACTTAAAAATAATTGAAAATAGAATTGTAATAATTCTATATTTTACAATATGTGTTAAATAATAAGATGTGTTTTAAAAATATAAAAATTAAAAAATGACATGTAGATATATTTTTATTTTTGTTTCAGAAGAAAATGAAATTGCACTATTTACAGGCATAGAAGACATGGATAAGGATGTAGAAGATGATGGATTGATTTTAGATTTTCCTGATATACAAAAAAGGTAATAACCAACATATTATGCAGTAATACAATAACTATTAAAATATCATTTTTCCATTGAATCAATTTGTTACATACAATTTAAAATTAAAAACACTTTTTATGGGAATAATATAATATAGTAAACATTTTCTGTTTTGTCTATTTTTTTTTTTTTTTGTTAAATAAGGAAAACGTCGACTCATAAAATCTTTCGTAGACATTGTGTGCCAAGAGGAGGAAACTGCGATCACAGGCCCAAGTATTGCTGTAACAGTAGTTCTTGTCGTTGCAATCTTTGGGGAGCGAATTGCAAATGTCAAAGAATGGGAATCTTTCAAAAGTGGGGAAAGTAAATAACTTAGAATTATAATGACTAATAATTAAAGAATTGTTTCAAGATTAATTCATTCTATCAAAATAATATCTTTTTGCTTCAATTACAACGATGTAATAAATACATTTTTATTTGTTTGTCATTTGTTATGTTTTCTTTAAAATAAAACTAATACCTCATAGTCTATAATTAATTGTTTTTTATAAAAGTTAGATTTTCAGTTTTTATGGTTATATCTTTATTACCTTACAATATTGTTAGTATTGTATATTAGTATATTACCAACTTTTTTATTCATTTAAAAAATTATATCTGTGTTAAAAAAAAAAAATCATTTTTCTACCAATTCTAATTGAATTTTATTTAAATAAATCGTATTATTTGTTAGTAACGATTATTTTTTTTTAATAAAAATATTTAATATATATACTTTTATTATAAGGTTGAAATTAATGTAGGTCATCACAATATTTAAACAATATCGTAAACATAGTTTCACAAACGCTAATTGAAAAAAAAATTGATTAAAACTGTTTTTAAAAACTTTTTCTGACCAAAGCTTAATCTACATTCTATAATTTTTAAATTTTAAGTTAAAGATTATAATATTTTCAGAATTTAAATTACACAAATTTAGTAAAGTTATTTTGGTTAATTGATTATATACTATATAGTAATCATAATCTTAATTTGTAAGTAAATATCAGTAATTTACATAATGGATTCTAAAAGTTAGTTCTAAATATGAAGTAAAATTATTAATAATAAATATAGGTAACTAGATATAAACATATTATATAATCAATATATAACCAATACAATTCAGTTAATTTTATGAAATGTTATAGTTTATTGAATAATTTGAACGGCGAAGACGTTTTTTTAAGTATTTCTTTAACATAATTTATATTCCTAAAAGGGCTTAATCGATACTAATATAGTTAGTGTAATTATTTTTATTTTTTAATTATGTAATTATAATAAGCACATTAAATAAATATTATTGTTTCTTCAAATATTTCCAATACTTTCTTGTTCTGCGTATTAACCACTAAAATTTAATAAATATGTGAAGTATACTGTATAATTTTAAAATTACCAAAGTAATAATTAATTACGTAATTATAATTTAGCAATATTTTTTTTTTATAAGTTATTATAATAACCACAACATTTGGATTGTATATTACATTGATTACTGGAAAAATATTTTTGGATTAAGTGTGGTCTTTTTCAGCGCTTTCTTTTTATTTTTAATTTACATAAATTTACTTTTTTCAATAGTTATAATATTATGTTTTACTTGCATAACAGTAATGTCTAATCTGACTAACATGTTTAGTTGCATCTTGTTTATAAAATTCTATGACAAAAATGTATAATTATTTTGACGGTTACTATACGTAATATACATATTATAATTATAATGATGCGTACAAAATATTATTCTAAATCGATGCCTTAAAAATCACGACGGCACATCATAAAGATTACATAATATATTGTATTATAATACCTATCTAAATATTATTTCCAAAATTCTAAACATACTTTTCTGTGCAACTGATTGTCATAATATCTAATGCATATTTTCACCCTGGCAGCCCAACCTATACTATAAGTATGCATAAGACTAGGTATTTTCCCGCTGAGACATAGATAATTTTATTTCGCCGGCTATCAGAATCTATAAATAGTAGCAAAAGGTCGTACCACCCTCAATCGTTATATTATATTACTAATACTGCAATATTATGAATGCTCGCCTCGTCATCTTATCCTAGAGATTTAATGAAACGAGAATTTTAACTGTCAGTCTATTTGTTCCAATTTAAACATCTCGTTGTTTACTTCTTGAAATTTAATATTTTCTATTGCATTTAAATAATAATAGTGTATAAAAATGTCGAAACTGTCATTAGTATTTCGTATATTATTTATGATCGGTATTGTATAAATTGTTAATGTGCATTATAGATTTTAAATATTAGAATCTTAAATAAATTCTGAATTTCTGAATAAATAAGAAGGAAATTAAAAAAATGAAGTTCTCATACAAAATACTTACAATTTAATATTTTAGAAAACTAATAAATTCTTTGCTACCACTTTAAATTTGAAATTAATGTTTACCTACTTAACAAAAAAAAAAAAAACTAAACTTAAATTATTTTCATATACAATGAAAATAACTATGTTAAAAAAATTACGATATTATAGGTTTAAACTTAACTTTAAACTTTTAAATATAATAAAATACTGCACTAAATCAATTATACAGTACACCTATGAAAAAAATCATGTTATTATTGAAATTGTTTTTGATATTCACTTACATACTTTGCTTTAATCTTTCAATAAAATCCTTTACTGGTATATAACAAAGAAGAGACTCAAATAGCAAATAATAATAAGACCGTGAACGTAAGCTATAATCTTAGCTTAAACACGTTACATAAACCACCATTCGAGATCTTCTAGGGTTTAAGCGTAATTTTAATTTCTCGAGAGAACGTGTATCGAATTCCATGAAAGGGATGAAGTTTCATGTGCCAGAGTAAAACATGATGACATTTTAACAGAATAATTACTAAATATTTTATATAAATTTATAGGAATACATGTCGTGGACTCAAAACCGAAATATTGAATTGTTAAGGAAAGCAATTTTAAACTTCTAACTACAATATTTTGAATAATTGTTAAAATTCAAAAATTAACAAAGCTTTTATGCGTTAAGTATTAAAATTTATTTTTGTTCTTAATAATAATGTATATGAACAAAAAACAACAACGTAAGATATTTCTATTAAAATTCTAACTATTCTATGTTTGAACTTTTAAGTTGTTAATATACAGTGTTTCACGATGAACAGACAGTCGCAATAACTTTTGTTCTGATAAACATTTTCAACTTTTTTTTTTTTTAATTGTCAATTTTCGTCTGTGTTACATTTAAAATATTTCTCGATTTTTTTCAATATTTTGTATGCAAAATTAAAAAAATTAATAAAATTTTCTATTTGATATTTAAAACATTAAGATCGCCATTTTGTAAATCTGATTTTTAAAAAAATGTTCGAATCAAAAACTTTTTCTAAAGTTGAGTCAATAATTTTTAAGCAATTTTTAAAATTTGTTTTAATTAAAATGTATTTCTTGTTTATTAGTGTTACACCGATTATCGATTATCCAGAAAATCTATTTAAAATAGTATAAAATTGCGAAAGCTTTAAAATATCGTAGCAAATAAACGGCTGAACATTTTTTATGTAAAAATATATTAATTGCCATTCGCCATTATTTGAGAGCAAAAGTTATATTTTATATTATTTTAGAGGTAGGTAATAAAATACATATATAGCAATTGAGAAAACGTAACCTAAACCGTAATTATTGGAGTCTAATAAACCATTAACGAGATACCTATAATATTAATCAGATATTTCGATATTTTACGAATATTTAAAATATTATTTAATACTTTGATTAGATATTTAATTCGTTGTAATAAGAAATATTTTTGGTAAGTTAGATTTTTTTCAATTTTCATTAACTACTTATTTCCAAACCTTGACCGTTGTATACAAATGTTCACTGTAAGTAAGAGAAAATTATCTTCATCTACTTGTATTTTAGAAACTAAGAACAAAAAACAAATTTTCTAGGAATAAAATAAATTGCATAGTACCATATTTAAAACTGTCGATAATTTAAGATTATTCGTGGTTTTATATCTTATTATTTGAATGCTAGGTGAGTATATAATATTGGGTAGATAATACAATGTATATTTTTAAATATATAATGGTACTCTGAATATTTTAAAAAAAATTACTTCAACTTTAGTTTGGAAAAAAATGTATACTAATATTCAATTTAAAAACCAGAAAATAAACATTCAAATATAAATTTACAAATACCTTTACAGGTATAAAATATATTTTGTTTATAATATATTCGTATTTACTTTTAAAGATTTTATCAACAATTGTTTACGATAATGTATACTTAATTATTTTAATTTATATAATAAAATGTTTAATAATGACGTAACACATTAACATATACCTAATGTTGTATTTTATATCTTTGTTATATTTCTTATGATTTAAGTTGATATTTTTAAAAGATAGGTTTATCATAATGATATTTTAGGCCATCTATCAATATGCGGTTTATCAATTAACATGTTCTACCGTAATAAAAATTACAGTATAGTATTTGGCCTATACCTACATTCTCAATTTAAACAAAGTTAAAAGGACCTCTAAATTGTTGTCATTTGTTAAATAGACGTTGAGAGATGCCTCTGCAGAAATTTATCCAGTCACTACCACATTTGTGGCATTGTGTTGTATAAGGTAGCAGGTTATGATCTTAAAAGTATTTAACTATGGATTTTTCAGTCAAAAAAGTATTCTACAATTCTTTTAATTCAGTTCAATACACCACAAACCACATTAAACCATTTAAACTATTTTTATGCCAACAACAAACTCTCACCTCGATATGGTTCGCTTATGATTGCGACGTAGATTGGGTAGATTATCTTTAATTAATAAGGTTATCGATGATAACCATTGAGAAGTACAGAGATAAAATGCATAAAATGATATAAAATACCAGTGCGAGCATTTAATCAATGGTAGAACACAAAATATTAGTAGACCACATATTGGGAGATAGCCATATTATATTTATAATAAAGTTTTATTTAATCCCAGCAAGCTGCAACTCACAAACAAATTAATAATTTCAATATTAATTATTAAATTTATGAATTCAGTCATGATACATATTTAATAATTAAGTATACCTAATATTATAATGAATGTAAGTGATCGTTATACTTTATGATGAAAGAAAAAAAAAATTGGTTTTAATAATTTTTAGAAGTCTTACTATTTTAAAATTAATTTATAAAATTAATGAATCTATACTGAATATATTATGAATAAAGTATAATACACACACACACATATATATATATATACACTTGATTATGAAGTATTTTATAATATTGCATAATACCTATCTTTTTTTTTTTAATGTACAAAATTATACTTAAAAAGTGAAAACAGACGCAATATTAGCAGTATTTAACTTATATGGTGGTACAAAATAATTAAATATCAACAAATAGTATCATTTTAATATTTTGTACAATATTATTAATTATTATGTCTATTACATCTATCACCTTTTTACTTGTATTGATGAGTACAAAATAAACTAAAAATATAACATTGGTCAACAACGGAATCGTGATGACGAACAGAACCTAGACATGAAAACAGGTTTTCGATATGATTGTAAAATACATAATATGTTGATGTTATTATTCCACATCTTGTAGGTCCAAATATAATATACCCAATTTATATTATAAGTTATAACGTCTAGAAAACAGTCTTAATAATATATGTATACGTATACGTATTGCGTTTACGTTCTTATATACAAGAACTTTTTACACCGAGATTATTTAAGTTCAATGATATTAAATTTTGGGTATTCATGTTATTCAAATACAAGAAAGTTTAAAAATAAAAAACTCGATGATTCATGAAATGCTTAGATGTGTGGTTGTTTGAAATTATAATCGGTAAAGTGAACGAATAAAAAAATCATTGAAACATCGAACCCGCGGGATAGCTGTACGAAATATATTTTAATATTTACAATTAAATCAAACACGCATTTTATCGATACGTCTTCGTGGTAAATAATTAATTGTATTTGTTTACGACGCATAGGTACTAGGTAGGTACTTATAATTAAAAACAAAAACAAAATTCGTACCTACTCTATACTTGAGTCGTAATATTATAACACGGGTTTCAACATCGGGCCCTACTGCAGCTGGTGCAGCATGCATATTATTATAATAATATCATATTACCCACCACTATTCAGTATAATATGCTTCTATAGATATTATATTCACTTGCAGTCTTCGCAAGTTGTTATGCCGCGCCAACGGCATGTGGCGGTAACCGGAACTGGCGGGGCGCAGAACCGTTGTGACCGTCTCACGTCACCATAATAATATAATATGTGATCACTCTTTGCCGTAACAATAGTAAGTACGATTAGAAATATTAGTAGAGATACATGCTGAGTAAAATTAGTAACAACTAATAACAATGCGAGCGCGCACACCGTGCGATACCTACGTCTCTGTCGTCGGCGTATGCTCTCTACAACATAATAATATAATAAACCTACTTCTTTAAAGTACGATACCATAATTATTTTTGCATCGAAAGCTCATAAACTAACAATTATTATTACTATTATTATTATTATTATAATTCATTGTTTTAACGATAATAACCATTGTATCACGATTACATGACATCGATATCGGTTCTTCCGTCCGGCGAGAATCGACGATAACTCTGTTAACCCGGCCCGGCAGCTACAGGTATAGTAGACCAAGGTTTACCCTCCCCGATAATATTTACACATCGTGTGGCATCGGACTAAAGGTGCGCGGCGATCACGACATGTAAGGTTCAGCGGCGGCGCGCCGGTCCGTCGCGTCCTCGTCACGTTCGGCCGGCTACGGGTATACCGTACATGCGATATTGCGCGCGTACACCGCAGACGATACGCCGTCCAACCGGCGGCAGCGTCGGCGCAGTCTTCCGTGGCAGTCCAGCGTCCGAATAAAATTAACGACGACGAGGACAAGATAAAAAAGAAGAGAAAAAATATACCGGGTAACACGATTCACACGAGTCCCACTACCGCTGCCGCCGCCGCCCCACTCTTTCCAAAAAAAACAACTCTTGTGTTGGTAATATTAAACGTATTTCGTGTGTGCGTGTAGCGCGTGTACCTACAAAATATTATATTACATACCTATATTATTATTATTATCGTTATTATCATTTCAATTTTTAACCACCGGCCGATAGCGCAGCCTCACTATGTGTTATTATAAATACAACATAATATGTACTTACGACGTCATAATGACATTACATGGGTGGTTTATTTACCTACTGCAGGTGCGCGCATTTTATAACATTCTAATAGTAGGTATATGGTTTATAGGTATAATAGGTACTGGTAATACGGTAATGTACATACCTATTCCTCTACATAATAAAACTAATATAGGTATACCGTATACGGCGTATACGCACGTGATGCGCGTTTTTAAAACATTACATTATATCATTGAATGCACCGTGGTATAGGTACGTACCGTGGTATAAGATTATTATTATTATTATTACACGTTATACGCACAGGTATTATACACCTATACCTACAACTCCGACAGCCGACGTATAGCGCGGGCTCCGCGGCGCGCGCGCGTGTGTGTGTGTGTGTGTTGTTGGTTACGTGTATTCGTTCGGCCGCCCCACCATCGGACGGGTTTTGTTTTGTTGTCGTGTGTATGGTTTTTTTTTTTTCCACCGCCGCCGTCGTGGAGAGAGAGCTTGCTGGCCTACTCTGTAACCACACCGTTTGCCAGCAGTGTACCAGCGACGTGTAATACGGCCAGTAAGTTGTTATACGATATTTTACCAATTATTGTTGTTGTTGTTGTAACTGTTATCATCGCCATAGTTGTTATCGTTGTTTAAATATATATTATTCAGTTAAAATATTATAACAATACTTATACGTACGCGCACCGTCCGCTTGTACCGCCGTAAAATTATCACGGGTCATATTATTTATCATAATATAATATCTTGGGAACGATGTACCCGTCGATGAGAAAAATGTAACTACTCGTTACCCGTAAACCGACCGCGGGAGACAAACAGCCGACTTTCGAACTTGGCTTCGAGCACTGCATACCTGACGTAGTAAACAATTCTACTGGAAACGTCGCGCGCGAAGATCGGCGGTTGCCGTACGCCGTATCGTCCTATTGCAGCTGCTGCCGCCACTCACGAACGTGTGTCTGCTAGGTATATCGTATTATAAGTAAGTCAAAAAATGTTTTGAAATTCACTAATATATAAGTTATAACAATATCATCACGATTATAAGCGACAACCATGATGTATACCTATACTGTATTATTCTAATACGAGTACCTACACGTATTTGACAATCTATTAAAATACTATCGATATTGACGTCATCGCTATAATACTTTTTCACACAATAGATCGCTGTAAGATATAGGTAACAAATAAATAAATAAGAATTTTAATAATATGCTAGAATGTAAACAATTTATACCTAATGCACGAATTACGTCCGCTTTGTTTTTTTTTCTTGTGAAATTTGGAAAAAGTTTTTCCGCACCAAGTGACGTTGCATTTCAAATTTCCATGCCAACCAGCAGGTCGCGGGAAACGTTTGTGTGTCTGTGTGTGCGTGTGTGCTTATGTGTCGTGTGTGTGCGCGCGCGCGCGCCTAGCGTCCGAGTCGCGTTTAGGTATAATATTATTATGCGGTGTGTTTGTGTGAACGCGCGGGCGGGAGCGTATTGCCGTCCTTCGCAACGATTTCCGACTGCTAATCAATTGCGTCAAAAACAAAAAAATAAATAATAATCATAAAAATACCTACATTACCGAGTCACTCTTTTTCCAAGACACTTAACCGTGCTTAACCCTGCTCGTTGGTCGCTGACTAGTTTCACAACACGTAAAACAATTATTTTATTTTATAATAATATATTATACGTCTGTATATAATAATATCGATGTATAGTGATCCCCTTGATCAACATGCATACGGAATAAGAAAAAAAAGAGTCCACTTCTCGTTGTTATAACACACACGTGTACTGTAGTTAGATCTCTACCTATACTCATATTTTATAACTAGAGGTAATACAGGTTTTGGTTAACGCGCGCGCGCATATCCTTAAAATTCCGATATAATATTATTATGCATTATTATTGATTACACTTTGGCCATACTCAAACACTGTAACACCAGAAACGACGTCATCGGTTTTATTTTCTTGCAAATCGACCGTTTTTGCTTTTTATAGGTATCCACACGAAACACGCGAATTAATATACACAGTTATTGGCGTCTATTGCGCGTGTCCATCGTATTGTGCAGTATTACATAGGTAGGTGGGTGTATAGGTGTACGTGTTAAAATCCATTCGTTTTAAAACCGTCAAATAGTGTACAATTGAACCATTATTGTTCAGTCGAATTTCAGTTTTGTTACGCCCTGTCACGTCCTGTATATCTACCGTACCAATCTATTTATTTTAAATATCCGTATTTCAAAAAAAAATGTATATATATTAAATAATACTATTGCGATGTAGTATAAAAAATTACATAGCTTATAATATTATCACTTTTGAATTATCTCTCAATAGAATTTAATTCGTTATTATATTTAAGAAACCTATACAATTTAAAGTGTACACTTGCCCCTAATTAAGACAATATTATTCATATAGTATATTTTCAATAGTGTCATATTACTAAGCATTAAAATGTATAAGCTTATAACATGAAATTAAATTAAAAAAACAAAACCTCATTGTATCCGTGTTATGGTTCATTAGATATTAACTTATATAAGTTCCAACTATTATTATTGTAAATGTTATTCTATTAAAAAACAAATTCAAAATCATATCAAATTAAAATGTTTTATTTTAACAAAAGAAAGCGATATTGAACTAAATATCCATGATTATTTGATTAGTTATTAATTATTATTTAAAATTACATAGTTGTAGATTTTGACCAAATGTAAGAATTATAATCAATATAATACCTGTATTATATATGGTTATTGAATATCTTTTACCTAAATTTACTGTTTTTAAAAAAAATTAATACCACATTTTTAAGAAAAAAAAATATTCGAAAGTTTTTTTTCAACCATTAGTTAAAAATGTATTGTTTATTTACAATATTTTGTTAAAATCTTTTTAATAACATATACAATTACCATTTGCTGATATCGTATTATTTCAACGTAGATTTAACATTATTCCTTTATTCCAATTAAAATAAAAAATGTATCAATAATGACATTAATAATTTATCAATAAATACTAAATATACTGGATATATTAAATAGCAAGAATATTATTAAGCTATTATGGTAAGGTACTTGGAATTTTGACAACAAATTTACATTTATTTTGTTTTTGTAAATTTCATATTTTAAAATTTTAAAAAGAGTATTACGACACATTTTTTTAAAAAGATACCTTAGAATTTAATGCTTAAATAATATTATTACCTTTAAATTTTATAATAAGCCAATTCAGGCCAATTAAATATAAGACTATGGTAAATGAATTCTTCTGAACATAATTATTGTCTATGTTATGTATTAGTAAGACGGAGAAAATAGCATATGCGGGTACCTATTGAAATAATTTCCATAAATCTAAATGAAATCATGATGAATATTTTTAACTTCCGTTTTCCTTATATATTAAAAATGTCAACTGTGGAGTACCATATTATTCCTACGGTTTAGATTTTTTTAAATGTAATAATGACGAGTGTATACTCGTATTTTATAATATTTATACCTATTAAGTATTAACTACTAATATTAAAGTAATAAAGTTGATAATTTCAAAATACATTTATTTAAATATATATTTCTTGTTGGTATAATAGGTACAATATCTTCTAACTTAAAAGTTAAACATTTTATTTTATATTTTATTGTTATAAAATTAAACCATTGAACAACTATTTTAATTCAACACGGCGTCATACGGTTGATTTTAGGATTAAATGTTTTTCAATATCTCATAGTAACCAATAATTTAATTTTTAAAAGTTGAATATGAGATTCTATGTATTTTATTTAATATTAATCTCAAATCCTATGCTTAAAATTTTATTTTAATTAAAAATTTGCATGATATGCAAAATTAGATATTGATAATCGACAAAAAAAAAAAAAAATCGAGATAAAAATTTAATAATATTCATAATAAGGTGATTATAATGATTTTAGCATTTATAGTGATATCCATATGGTATAATATTATATTACAACGGAAATAAATTTTAATCGATATAAATTGCGAGTGAAACTTAAATATTTAAACGGACGTTCAACGCGATAAACATAATCCATTAAAAAAAGAATGTAATCTTGTAGAAGTATTTTAAAATTGATAATAACAGAATAAATAAAAACTAGATTGAGGTAGTCAAGGGAATAAAAATAGACGTACTTATGCTCAAAGAAGAATTTGAAAAAAAAAATATAAACCAATTGAACAATATTAATATAATATTGAAATAATTTTATTAACCAGAACATAGATATTTATATATTGTTTAAAAACTTAGTTATGATACCTACCTACAGTTAAATGTTACAAAAACTTTGTTTTTATTATACATATTATTTTAAGTGTATGTATTTATTTGATGAATATGATTGAAATTAATCAATTAAAAGTTACTTAACCTTAAATATTATAGCATTGTTGTTGTTTTTTTTTTTTTTTAATATTATTACTAATTTTAATTTAATATCTTAAGTACCTATTAGTTTTAAAAAAAATTAAATTGATAATAATTATTTAATTGGACGGATGAATAAATAAATTGAACGTGGTATCTTTGCACAAACAATATTTTAATATAAAGATGGTCATTGGTCTAGTGATTAAATTATATATTTCTTCATTCTTTATTAATAAAATAATATTTTTTTCAATGTCTATTTACAGTTAACGACAAAAGTATACTGACCACTAGACCAAATAAATATTTTTAGGTAACTATTCACTTGTGACCGTTACGTTTTGTTAGGTTACATTAAGGTTAGGTAACTAGATAATTTGGCGCGAATCATTTATACACGCACAATACGGATGATATTTGACCGAGTTTATGTAATCGAGTTGGTTCCAATCAGCAGCTGGTAACCAATTGTCAATAGAGCATAACGTTGGTCAGTTTTACTTTCTATATTATACAAATAACCGTTTTACTTCATTTTAGGTATGTATTTTTATCTCTAAAAATAATGATTAATCTATTAAAAATTGTACTTACATAGTAACTTATGTTTTAAGTTGTCTTTTCGTTGGTTTATTATAATTTCCAATTTACACACATTCTCATTTTACTTATATATATTGTATCAGCATATTTGGTATTTTAAAAAACATTTACCCGTTGTTTATACCAAAATATATGCTGTATATATATATGGTTAAATAAATAAGTATATAAAGGCATAGATATAATAAATTTCTCAACGAATAAAAAAATCTTAATTTTATGTGGGTTGTTTGAGTGTTTTTTTTTTTAACGTCTAGTCATATGCATAACATAATATTACGTAAAGATTTAAAATTATAATTTATATTAATAATAAAGATATCTGAATTAAATACAATAAATACATTCAATATAATTGTATTTTAAAAAGTATCTAAATAGTCATAATTTATGTCATACAATTTAAAGCCATATAATAAATATTAATTTTTATGACCATAATTTATGAACATTTAATTAATTTTAATAGGAATTCTCGCATCTCGCTTCTAATAAACTAAAATGTTTTTGTCAAATTTTTAAATTAAAATCTTATAATATTGCTAATTAAGGTGTATTTTTTATATACTCGCGTTCTTAATATCTTGTACTGATTATAGAAGTATGTTGTACTTGTGTAGTGTGTACATAGTTATATCAATAATGTGTTTCCTAATAAGTAATAATAAAACTAAATAAACATTAAATGTACAAAAAAAAATGTAGCTACCTATTTTTTTCATGTGTGCTAATATAATAATTTATAATCATTATAGGTACTCCTATATTAATTATTTTATGATTAGATGATTACTCAATGATTTAATAAAAAATCAAAACTATTTTGATTTCTAGTAACTTAGAAATATCAAATTATATTAAGTAAAATATTATTTTAAATTTAAATTATGTTTACAATATGTGGAATAAATAATAAGTTCATTCAATAAGTAAATTTGAGATAAAATGTTTAAATAATCAAAATATGAGAGTAGAAGTCACCTAGTGGTACACTTCTAAGTGAAACTTGGGGCTATATCTAAATGTGCTTTAATTTTCTTATAAAATTAATATTTAATATTTAACACATCAGGTATTATTATGGTATAATTTATATATTAAATATTATTATATAGATACCTAATAATAGAAAAGTCCGACAACAATAAATTACTATTTAATTATTTTTGTCATTATTTGACGATTAAAAAAGCTGAAATAAATAAACATGTATACCTATGCTAAGATAAAAATTACGTCTATAAAATTACATCAACAATAAATGTAAGTAAACATAGTGAAATTATAATTCAATTGTTATAAAAGCAATAAGTAAAACAGTAGAACAAATATATATTATTTTAATTATATAAAACAATAGTGAATTTATAGTTTTTTTTTTACTTGGCGTATTGAATCATAATACTTACTTTTGTTAGATTTTAAATAAAATAAAATATGTATTTTAAAACACTAATATCTTTATTTTTGAAGATAAATAACTATATTACCACCAAAGTTTAGGAGTTATCCTCATCAGTCATTACTATAGTGGATAGTACAGTAAACAACCAATCATTTATTTTAGGTTAAGCAGTATTTATTAAATTATTTTATTTCTTTTCACCTCTGTTTGAACTATATTTGGCCTGTTAATAATTTGCACATGGGTTTAACAACCTATAAATTGAGGACAATTATTATAAGATTTATTCCAATGTCACAATCATCCTCGTAAATTGCTATAAAGACTATTTTAACGATAGCAATATTTTCAAACATCATACCATTACTTATGCATATCGTATATATAATTTGAATACATTTATGGGTACCTAAAGAAAAAGCTTTTCTGAAAAAAATTAAAACGTAACTTATTAATTAGGCTGTTTGTTTCAATAATTTGTATGCTATTCCTTATAGATAATTATTAATTGTAGGTCGCTTATGAATCATAACTAATTTTTGTGTTAAACAAAAACTAAATAATATGTTTTAATATAGTAAGTAAGACGATTTTCTTCGTATGAAACAGTTATTTCATAAGTTCTTATAACGCAAATTTTAATGATTACGAATTTCGGTCAAAACATTAAATAGGTCATAGTAATATAATCATATAATATATTTCTTATCTATTGAGAATTAAATAGTGAAATATATCAAATTAGCTACGATAAAATAAATGTATTAAATTATAATTTTAGATTTTGTCAAGGTACATATTATTATCATGTATAATTTAAATATTAAATTTATATTGTAATGACTGATTAGATTTTGTTTAATTTTAAAAGTAGATTTTTGAATTTTATAATAGTATAATTATACTTTTCATTAAAATAGTAATTAATTATTTTTTTGAATTTATGAACCATTAATTAAAACATATTTGATAAATAATATTAATTGAATAAATATTAAAAAAATAAAAAATGTATTAAGCACCTATCTAATATTCTAATAACCTAATATATTATGTAATGCAATACAAGGATACTGAGGTACAAACATATTTTTGTTAAACAATACATCATATTATTATTATTTTAAAATTTATGAATGAAATTTAAATAAGTATTTAATAGAATAAAATAACTTCATGAGATAGTAAATTATTTTTACTTGTTTATCTGTGTTTAGAATTGGTCTATATGTAATGTAATAATATAACAATATCTTATGTATAGAAGTATATTATAGCTCACTCTATGAAACTCAATATATAGTTCAATATAAATCAATTTTCGATTCTTTTATTTAAAATGACAAGAAATAAACCTTTAAGTTTTAGATATCGATATTTAATTATAGAAGAAAATCGTTTCTTGGATATTTGGTTACCAACTAGTGACAATGATAATTAATTTACCTTTGACGCTACATTAGAAAATATCGTTTATATTAATATAGGTAACCTAAATTCACTATATAGACAATTAACTATGTCATTGCAAGTGGGCTGGGGTTAATAAATTACACTAGTCAGGTCAAATGACTAAAATGTTATGTACCTTAGACTCTAATTGCTCGCGCCTATTTTATAATGTGTCTGAGAGAAGAAATTTTATTGTCTTCAGCAACCATCATGTAAATTAATACTCGCTTTAATTATATTCAAAACAGTTGAGTTATACTTTTCTTAGAAAAACATTTTCTAAGCAGGAATAGTTAATAATAATATTTGATGATATTATAATAGTAAATTAATTTCGGATAATTTTTTAATTTTTGTATATCGAATTATTTATATTACTAAAATCTATATATTATTGTATATATATAAAACTACGTATTAAAACTTAAAAGTTTACAGCTTAATTTTTTATTAAAAAAAACTTTAATTAAATACATTTTTTGTAAAAAAAAATTAAAAATACATTAGAGATATAGTTACTTTTATTTATTAAGAACATTTTTTCGTTTTATTATAAATATATTAATATAATAGTTTATAATATTATAAATAAATATTACTAAGTGGTTCGCACTTGTTTTAACACTACAATTAAGTGTGTATGTGTGATTTCTTCTTTTAACGTACCTATTAATTTTACTTTATTTTTAAATCTTATTTATAATTTAAATGGTTTCTTCATGTTTAAATATTACTGTTAACTCTAGCTTCTAGATTGTCTATTTTGTAAGAACTTTTTAAATTTTACTTTAAAGTAAATGATACATGTGTTCAAATTTTGTCTTTGTCCTTGTCGTCTTGGTCGTTTTATGATTCTGTCTGATGAATGGCACACGAGCATATTAATAAAGAATACTTTCACCAACAGTAGACACAGACCAAACGCGTCGTCGCACACGTCTATTTTTTTACTATTATTATTATTATTATTATTATTTTTTTTTTTTTTTGTAACGCTAAACTATTATAGTTATACACTATACAGAGTGCTTTTACTTAGTATTTTCATACTTTTATTTTTTGTGTATTTATAATACTTAATATAAATAGTGATAGTTTACATTATGTACTTATAGTACATATTAACATTTTTATAAATAAATTATTAAATCAAAAATTCAATTTACATTTAATTATATTTTAAAAATGTATACTTTTTGTTAGGTATTTATAATATTTATATGTAACAATTGTTTGTATTTAGATTCTAATTAAATTATTAGTTATATTAAATCATAAATGCAAATAATAGTATTGTGTTTAATAAAAAATGTTGTATAATATTTAAATGTTTTAGTTTTTAAATAACTCTTACACCGTGTATTTTGTTTTAACAGTTTTTTTTAAATCTGTTTATGAGGTACATAAAATTATACCACCTACTACCAACTATAATTTCTAATGGGACGGGTTTTATGTAAAAAAAAAAAAAAACAGTTATTTCTTATAGTTTTTCCGTTGACTTGAAATAATTACTAAACCATATTATATTTTATTTTATTTGGGTGTTTGATAAACTTAAAATAATATTTTATCAGTGAATTAATCGTGGACAATAATGTAGCTATTTACCATTCATAATACAGTTATGGAATACATTCTAAGTTTGCTGATATGGCAATGACGAGTATTGAATTATACAAGTACTTATGTATGTACTAACATACTTCATAATATATTATTATAGGTAGGTACTAAAATAACTTATTACTCTTTCACCGTCATCTATGCTGCTATATGACGGTTGTTCCTTGTGATATTTTTTATTTTTGTTTAATAAACGACAGCAGTTGCAGCAACTATTCGCAGAGATATTGGTTGTGGCTTTGATGACATTGCACCATGTTGGCAAAGGTAATATAGTGACTATGAATAAAATAAATAAAAATAAAAATGCATACAATAAAGAGTGAAAACCAGTTCCGGGGATCGTGTGATGTAGAGAGCGTCGATAATGTTGGATAGGCAGATATGAAATCCATAATAAACACATATACTTCTCTGTACTCAAACCTAAAACAAATCGGAGTGACTTACTGCAGACGAATTTTTTTTATACAAACAAAGGACAAATACGTTTGACAAATTATAGGGATAATGTTATAACTAGACAATTATTCTATTGTTAAAATTTAATTATTTAATGAATATTATTATATAAATATTTAAACTTTGTTTCATTGATTAATTATACGCTAAAATGTAGTTACCTGAGTATTAAGTTGATAATAATATTTAATTATATCACTAACAATGATAATTTATAATTATCTGAATTCATAATAATTTACATATGCATTCTCACTACTGACGAAGAAAATATTTCCCATTCGTCTATAATCGAAAAAATATGAATTCTGTGTGTTTAAAAACATAGATATTATTAATAACAACTTGATTGTTCTAGATGATAATCAACGTACGGACAGTTGACATGGCTAATATGGATGCTAAAAAAGTAGACGAATGGACGTGGAGCAAATTGGACAGCTGAATGACACCGACTGCGGATTTGTGTGTGAGGCTGGCTAAGAAGCGTCGGGAAACACCATGTGGTTTGGCGTAAAATGGCTGATCCAAATAAGAGTAAAGCGTTGTATTCGTCCGGGGTGGCATTCCTAGGGTTCGCGTGTTTTGCACTAGCCGCCACTGCCATTGGGTTGCCGTTATGGGGTTACTACGAAAATCCTCAAGGTGAGTTATGAGCATGGTATAATAAACTATTACGATCAATAAATTGTGTAAAATTGCCAATTTGAGTATTATATCATTTATAAATTATTGAAGAAAATGAACCTATACTAATAAACAAAATATGAATGATTTTTAAATTGTATTACATAATCATTAGTATTATCGGATTTGTGCCTAATCCATAACTACTTAAATAATATATAAATTACGTATTAAATTTTAATTATTTTTTTTTTTACTTTTATTTATTTCTCAAAAAATAATAATAATAATGGTCCTTACCGAGACTCTTATATGATTATATTATGTACAAGTTAAGAAGAAATTCAGTTAAATTAATCATTATAACTCGGTATACATAGTTATCCGTTTAATAATATGTTTATTATAACATATCTGTGTAATATATTATATTATAAAACCTAGGTAAAATTAGGTACTAATTCTAGTTGTATGTGTATATGTTATGTTTATAATTTGAAACAATAAATTTAAAATTTATAACGATAAATAATTAGAGCTATTTCACCTAGCAGTACTCCTAAAAAATGTCTTAACAAAACAACATAGTTATATGTGTCGACCATTTTATTGAAGCATTGTTAAAAAAAAAAAAAAACATGAACATAAGATTAGCATATCAACAGACAACATTTGTTTATATTTCAATCAATAACTTTCATAAAAGCTTAATATTATTTGCCGAGTTTTCATTAAATTTACATAAACTAATTTATTCTGACAGTTTCTATCAACTCCATTATTTTGATTTGATGGAGCCGTACATTAATATTTATTAGGTACACAGAAATGAGTTTTTGTGATCAAATAAAAAGAAATTATTCATCTTTCAGACTAAATTATTCTTCTCAAACACCATTATTGTGTGTAATATTTATTTAGTTCTTAATCTTTATTTATTATATTTTAGTATAATTCTAAATATTCAATTGTCAATCCATCAATATGTTTATTCTGAAATACTTAGTTTTTTTTAGGTTAATAAGTAATAATTTTTAATAATTAAATTGCTAATAATATTAATTAAGTATTTGTCAAATTTATATATTTTATATTATAAAGTATTCACCTATATAGAAAATACTTTATTTATAGTAAATAATTAGGTAGGTAGTAAGTAGGTATAATAATAATAATATAATGATACTTATGGTATATTTTTATGAGTAAACATTCACCTAAATTACACAGTATTTTAATTAAATTTGTGATAGTTTTGAAATATATAAAATTCTTGATGATGCTTAAATTTTTTTAAATCATTTTATGAATAAAATAAAAAATATTTTATGGTACAACAAACATCTTATATTTATATAATTTATAAGAATTTTAACGCATGATTAAATATTTTATTTAATAGTACTGTCTTAATATGTTTGTATTTTATTTTTATTGATAAAGTGAATTTTAATGTTTTTTTGGTAGATTATACCTATTAATAAACAAGTAATAGTAAACTTGAAAAAATTATTTTTATTTTTGAAAACGGATGAAGTCAATGATGAAATCGAACTTAGGATAAGTTGGGAGGGATACATGATACAGTTAAATTTATCAACTTATTGTGACCTCAATTAGGTTATTTTGTCGATTTATCGATAAAAATACATAATAAATTATTTAATTCAAACTTCAATATATAAGTGAGTAATTATGTATGCGAGACTTATGCCTCTACATCAAACCATCATTCAGCTATGGGTATTTGATTGGGTACAACTAGTCTAATAATTGCTAAAATGTTCAATTGTTACTTCACTAGTTGGTGCATGTATATATTCAAGGACATATTATATTATGTTCTATAATATATTATATTTAATGAATTAAGAATATGTATATATTATATATTATTTTTATCAAACTAGGTCAATTTATTGTTTTTCTTAACAGACAATAGTTAGGTATCGACTAAAAATAAATTATAATATGGTATTTTTTTTTTTTTTTTGTAGTTTTTTGGTGGTATTTAATGCTTAAAATTGGAAACAATGAAATCTTAAGTTTCTCATAGTTTACATTATAATATGTCTCGTATAAAACACAATACACAAGATATAATATAATGGTTCATACAATTTACCAAAGTAAATTACTTCCGTTTTTTTTTTAAATAACTGTGTAATTTAATATTTTTTTAATGAATTATATTTCGTTAGTATTAAAGTCATAGTTTTATATGTGTATGTATCTATTTATTTTTAAGCTTATAAATCTTATACTATATGTACAAAATTTATATTTTCTACAATTTAAATATACGCATGTATTTAATAATTTATATAGGTAGAATAATTAAAATAATTTAGTCTGTTACTAATAGAGTATTAAATTTTTTATACTTTAAAATAATTTCTTGAATAATAATTACTTGGATATAACAATTAACTCGGTGATAAACATAAAAATAAAATACCTATAGTATATTTTTCATTAACTATGATTCATTATATGTGACTCATTAAAATACTGTCGTTTGCTTAATGGACACGTAGAGTTGATTATATCGTATCAATAACTTGTATAGATCATCATAGTACTTTAATGTGTAATTGTTTAACAGTTTTTATTTCATGATATTATTTAGGTTATGATGTTTTATGTTGCTTAGAAATTGCTCTACCTGATAAAAAAAAAAAAGTTTGGTATGTTATAACTATAGTACCTATTATAGTTCTTGGTATGTTTTATGATTATGTAGAATTAAATTCCGTTACCTACCATGTCATAATACTTTTTATATTTGTAAAATATAATTCAATCATAGAGTACATAAATATGCAATTAGAACACTATGATTGAATGGAAAATTTATATTTTGTTACATAATACATTTATTGTTTTGAAAATAATTATAACTAAATTCGATTAATTTAATAATTTTTTTGTATTAAATATTAAAATATTTTTACAGATGCATTGTAAAATCATTAAGTAGGTACAATAAATTTTTATTTAAAAATACTAAAATTAAAACTAATACAATTAAATACCTATATCTTGTTAACATTTTAAATCACTAGCTAGTTGTTTATATCATAATAATTAAGGTCAGACTTCACAAAATATTTTATGACAGAAATAATATGTGTTTTGAAAAGTTAATAATAATTTATAATACCAATTTTAATAATTTATTTGTAGCCTTATTAGGGGTCTATTATATTAAGTGTTTTAGCTATGTGTAGCTAAATGAATGCTTAAATAATTTTTGAATTTTTACGTTTTAATACAGCTTTTCTGCCATCCTAATACTTATTGATGTGCTATATTTGAAAACATACAAATTATATAAAAAATAAGTGACCAAGTACCTATGTAATTTAAATTATAGAATTTTAATCAGTTTTAATTTATATATTATATAGACTATAATTAAAGTTTTTAAGACTGAAAAGTATTTGTAATTTGCAAATTACAATTTCAACACATCAGCTACGAATAAACTTTAAAAAACTTTATGCACTTACAACAGATTAATGTATAAATTATTTTTATATTTAATACTATGTGTTTAAAAAATATATACATAATATGATGAAAAAATATGATTATAATCGTAATTTCAAAACTAATCAAAAATATAATAACATTAAAAAAAACTATGTTATTTTATAAAACATACTTATATTATGCGTTATTCCGTTATACATATATAATTATATATAATAAACACATTTATATTAAGTTTTTTATAGATATAAAAAAATTTTAATTTTCTAGGTAAATTAAAATAATCTCTAGAAAAATACTAACCTGACTGTTTAATTTAAAATTTGAATTAATTAATTTAATAAATATTTTCAAACAATTTATAATTTAGCAATAACAATGTTTATTTATAAATGAATTAACTACGTAGATACTGTTTTATATCTTTACTTAACTTTTATTCTTTATTCCCTTCCTCAATTACATAATTAGTATTAAACTATCAATTGTTTGAAATATTAATTATAAATACATCTATAATCATTATTATATTTTAATGTTTATAATTTTAATTGTAAATCTATCATAAAAATGTTAACTTTTAAATAGTTTTTGTTACTAATATACATATAATAAATATGAGTATGTAGTAAATATATTTTAACTGATGACTCAAGTTTTAAAATTAAATGGTTTCTTGACAATCTACGTATGTTATAAGGGATATATATAAAAAAAAATTAAACTTTATTTATAAACTTTGAATTCTACAGTAACATTTTTAAACAGATTATTAATTTAATAAATAACTAATATTATCATGATATGTTTTAATTTTTTCCAAACCTTAATAATTTAGGTAGGTTATTAGTTAATAGTAGGTATATTACAAAATAAATACTATTAAATAATAGAGAATTAAGTATCTAGGTCAAGGAAGTGGTGGTAATTGACAAAAGGGACAGTTGAATGTAATAAATTATGTTTATTAATTATGTGGTGACACCTAACTATTTATTGAACCCGTTCAAAAAAATAAATAAATAAAATAAAAGCCATTGATAATTGCATTATAAATTAAATTTTTAAATATTAAATGCATTATTAAGCACAAGTATCAATAATAACTTATTTAATGATTTTTCTGATATACTTAAATATTCTATGTGAATAATAAATGTAATACGTAAATATTATTTTAAGATTTATATGTTATTAAGTTGAACAAAGCCAATTGTATTTTTTCAATTTTGTTACATAAAGTGATTTAAGTGGACAAATACTGATAAATCATAATATCTATGTATTACACTGAATCTATTTTTAGGTACAATGAAATAATAACATTAATCGTTAAAAAAAAAAAACCATGTTTGATTACATTCAAAATATAATTAATTTTCCATTATTTATATTTGATAATATTTTATTTGGTTTGTTTAAAAATAATTTTTCTTATTAAATTTCAAATAATTTGTAAAATTAATTTTAGAACAAATAAAATAAATCATAAATACATAATTGTACTCAGACATGATACTTGT